GAAATATTTTCATCCGTTCAATAAACCTCATTTACAATTTTCTCCGGGTGATTTACTGTTTTTTGCAGGGAAATTCACGATTGAAGATAGAATTGAATATATTACAGTTACTTACGCTACTATCGTTGATGTTGGAGATCCTGATGATGGATTCAAAAGCGACGAAATTCCTCTTTGTGTTCCGCATTTTATGTTCCCTGTAAAAGTCAAGTATAATCCAAAAATTTGTGATAATATCGTCTATTTCGGGGCCGAATGTTATGTTTATAACTTGTTTACAACTCATGACATTCACATAGATCTGATAGTTTCTTATCCTGCTCAAGCCACTAGATTTAATCATTTACATAATCGTATTAAAATAGGTCGTTCGTTTGTGGTATCTGGTTTTATCAAATTTGAGAAACCTGATATCGTTGCGTTAAAGCAACTGACATTGATTATTTGTCGTCCTTTGATTTTAATTATAATACTGCACTTGAAACTTCACCAACAACCATCTCAAAATCTCATTCAGTTATTAATTCAATAGCTGATGAGTTCAGATCCACCTCACAAACTCCTAATAAACGTCGAAGGTCAATGTTTACTTCTATGAACCAAGCCCCTGTTCCAACTTTATCTACAACACTGCAAGAACTGGACTCTTTTGATGTCAATGCCGGAATTACCTCTAATAAAAAAGGTAAAAAAAAATTATCAGATTTGGTGCTAGATTCTCTTAATCTAGGTGCAACAGGTGAGACTGTTAATCTTACAAATCTAATCTCACACGCGTTGTAATCAATTAAAATATGAGTATAAGAGTGCCACCGGCACTCTAAACGCGTTGGATTGAAATCAAAAAAAAAAAAAATTATGGATACTTATGTTAAAATCAACTCTATAGTCTATGCGATAAACATAATTTCTCCCTGGTTTTAATGTATGCATAACGCTAACGGTCCCTCCTATTTATAGGTACTGAAAGTGTTGAAGATTGGGTTGAAACTGTAAGTTACGAAGAAAATGATGATGATAGCAGTGAACAAGAAGATGAACAAGAAAAAAATGAAGAATAAGAAAAAAAAAATAGGAAAAAAGAGAAAAAGAAGGGTTAACAAAGGAAGTATAGCAGAAATTCAAGAAAAAAAAAATAAATTCTACATGTAAAATTAGGAACCTAAACTGCTTAGAATTTTTTAAATTTTTAACTGTTTGACTATATTAACCAAATGTAGGCAATAAAAAAATAGTACTATCACTAAATTACTACAGTGCTTTATAATCGTACCTTTCTTTTTGCTATTCGTACCCTCTACTCCTGTAAAAAGTGTTGATAATAACTATCGATACGGTTTATCAGCACAGCTAATGAACAGCACTAACTTTAACGACACATCATGTTTAGCACAATGGTTAAAGTTATATTAAAATGAGCAAATTAGA